CCGTGAAGCTTTACTTTTAATTATATATTTTAAAATAGTAATTCTATTTTATTTTTTTGTTATTACTACTACCAGAGACGCATTACACCCTTGGCCTATATTAAGTTAAACAATATTGCTCACACGTATTTGATCTAAAATCACATCTATGCAGACTTACTTGGCAATTAACTTCTATAAAATGAATTAAATAAAAATTATTTTAGATTATTAAAGCTTAGGTCTGGTTGAATAAACACAAAATTTTTATACTACAATATCAAAACTATTTTTGTACTCTTTTAAGATCTTTGTCCTGTACTGCATATGGTTCTATATTTTACGTGGTCTACCTCTTGGCATTTATTTAAAGAGGTTATGCATTTATAGAGGTGCACTTAGAGATCTGGACTACTGTATTACCTAATCTCTAAAAATCTTTCTGGGTACAATTAAAAAATTACCTCATAGTAACCTTTAATTAAGCATACCAAACAATTATTTCAATAATCTAGATACTGATATAGAATAAGTAGTTAGTTATAGATATGTGAATTTAGTATAGTGAATATTAGAACTTTAAAAGAATCGTAATCTAGAATAATTAGTTCTAAAAAATAAATAAAATAACACATGCATAACGCAACATTTAAATAAACACCCTAATTGCACTTAATATTCTCTGAGCGTTTGTTAATATAAAATCAGGATCCTTGGATGAAATAATTGCCATCATTGGCATATTGAAATATCATCATATATTCTTCTGTTTCCATATTTTGAGTCAATTCATATATTTTAAGTTTACTTCCATACAATCTACATCTCATATAATTATCAAACTTTGCAATTTTAAATAAATATATTAATTCAATGTACAGTATATATAATTCAATTAAATTATGATTTACAGTATATTTAATTAAATTAAAATATGATTTAACTTACTTCTTTTAAAAAATCAAGAGGGTTTTCTTTAGAATCAGATAAGGTCTTAAGTGCAATGGTGCTAGATGATTCACGTGTTCTTATATATTTGTCATTGCCACTGTCGTCTTTCTTTATTACTTCAATTTTTCGTATACCATCTAACCAGGTTGCAGAAAATACAGTACTAAATCTCCTTGCTCAAATTTCTTGATATTGTTTAGTTTATCAAATGGAATCCATTCAATCATATTTTTATAATCAAAAGTTTTAAGTTGAAACCCTTCATACAATAATCAATTTCCTGATTCCCGCATGTCCATTCTTGAATCATTAAGTTGGGATCACACGTAAGACACCACATTTTATTTGTGTTATATTTACCACAATGCGTACATTTTCATCATCTTCAATCCAATCTTTGCACTTGTACTGAGTCTTTAGCACTCCGATTCTGTAGTAATAACAAACGGCTATTTTTCAGATTCTATCAGTAGAGCCCATATTTGCTGATTTTTGATAATATTCGAAGGTTTTGTGTTCATCCTTTCCAACACTAATTCCTTTTTTATAATATTTTGCAGCTTCATAATATTCACCTGCTTTATGTCATCCAATTCCATATTGATAACAATATTCTACATTATATATTCCAACAGCAGAATCCATCTCTGCCGATTTTTGATAACATCTGAAGGCCTCGTGTTCATTCTTTTTCAACACCAATTCTATGTTAATAACAATGTCCAACATTATATGTTCCATCAGCAAAACCCATCCTTGCTGATTTTAAATAACAACCAAAAGCATTGCATTTATCCTTTTCAACTCCAATTCCATGTTGATAACAATGTCTAACACAATATGCTCCATCAGCAGAACCCACATAGGCTGATGCTTGATACCAAATGAAGGCCTCGTGTTCGTTCTTTTCAACACCAATTCCATGTTGATAACAATGTCTAACATTATATGTTCCATCTCTTGACAGCATACATATAAGATCGGACTCTTTTATTAGTATTTCTTGCTCTCTGAATTTCATAAAGATTGTTAAAAATAATTTTAGTTTAGTTGCCAGGTAAGATCTTAAAGTCTGTTCTTAAAGCTTACGAAGACTCCATTTTCAATATATAAGTTACCGTCAAGCATTTATTCATTTCTTTGCCTTGAATTAACTCGTGTATATTATAGTTTCTGCGTTTAATAAATAAACAACTTATTAATGAAAAACCAGAAAGATCTTGAGTACAAAGGGATTTGCGAATAGTAGTAAAATGTGAAATCTTGAGTGCAATGGTTCACACAGGTAAAAAAATTAGCCAATTAGATTATCGCAGATATTGGACAATGTCCGCCGGACGTTATCCAATGTCTAAACATTTGATTGGTCGGTTTATGGACAATGTCCGCCGGACATTACCACCTTTGGACATGGATGCGGACGTCTGGTCCAGTCTGGTCCATATCCGTGTCTGTGTCTATGTAACAACACTG